GGAAATTTGAAATTGCCCTATTTTGTTAGTGTAGAAAGATATATATAGATATATAACTGTCTAAGTCAAACTTTCCAATAGTTTAAATGGGGATGATGAGAAATAAAAAGAATGTAATAAAGTCTTAGTCAATCTCTTCAATGTTTTGAATGGGGATAAGGAGGGATAAAAGGAATGTAAATAGTCTTGTTGGAATGTAGATTAATTAGAATCGTCGGATCAATAATACTGAATCGATTTGAACTGTCTTTTATGTTGGGATTACGTTATCCGTTATATATATTTATATTTTGTCTCAAAATGATCTGGACCTCTTTTTGTCTTTTGAATTCAAACTTCGTTCTACTTTATATATATACTAGACTTGATAATTAGAATCATTGATTTCACTGTGAGTCCCAGTATTTATTGAGACTCACTACTTATTCAATGGTTGAGATTATCAAGTCTAATTTTTCTATATATAATCATAATTGAAAATGTATTTATTTAACCAGGCAAGCAAAATTCACATCCACCTTTTGTGCAAACTCCAAAGGGATGAAAACTTGCCCTCGAGGACACTGGCTAATAATTGGGTTCGAGTACATCACTTTTATTGATATTAAATTTACATGATTGATTATTATTAGGAATATTTAACCGGTGCCTATAAATAATTAATAATCTTACTGGAATTCTCAATCTATATAATAAAATACCTAGGAGTTTAAATTTTATTTCACACATATTTTTCTCTCCAAAATCATCTCATCACCCAATTCTATCACATGTTTAATTATTTAATATTTGATTAATTTTTAATTTAATATAATTATTATTTCATACATTGTCCATACACGATAATGTACACGCGTTGAAAAATTTTTGCCAGGTTATACATTTTGAGAAAATTTTGATGTTATTTTTTAAAAAATAATAGATATAAATTAATTTTAAATGATGTAATCAAATAAATAAAAAAATAAAAAATTATTATTTAGTATAGTTGGATTAATTTTGTAAACAATCAAATTTTATGTTTTATAGGCACGGCTTATAATTAGTTAGTAAAAATGGCCGCTCTCACATGCCCCTTTTATTGAACCATGTCAATCTTTTCTTCTTTATTTTTAATTTTTTTTCTTCCTTAATTGTTCCCCACACATCACAACTTCAAAACACATTAAATAGAAGGGTTTTTTTGACTGTGAATACAATTTTTTAGACTTATATAAATAACTGAATGACAAATTTGGTTGATATTATAATTTCGTATAATGGTTTAGTATAACTGTTTGATTTATTAAAATACATAAGTAACTGTTTAGTGTATTATAATGTAATAGTCATAACCCGTGCCTGAAGACATGATAAAATATAAAATTCGAGCTTCCAAAAAATTGATATTATTATATTATTTTTTTTCAAAATATATTAACTACAAGTTAATCAAATATTAAATAATTAAATATATGATAAAAATGAGTGATGTGATATTTTTAGGGAAGAAATATATAAATAATTAAACATATGATAGAAATAAGTGATGCGATTTGACGTTTGAGTCTGATAAATGAATGATGGGTGAGGTAAGTGATTGATGATAGTTTTGAGGGAAAAAATATGACTGAGATAAAATTCAAATAGACTCCTGTTTATATATATATATATATAATGGGCACGTTTTACCCGTATCGGATGACTCATATGTATCCTCTCATATAGAATGTATCATATCTTATATCGTATGATACGGTGCAAATCTAATACATTTAAGTGATACGTATCATTTTCTTCATATATTGAAAAATATCGCACGATACGTATCATACAACACTAATACATCAAAGTGTAATTTTTTTAAAAATAATTTGAAATACAACAAAATTATATCAGAGTGTGCAACAGAGGCAATTGCCTTTCCGACTGTAAATTTCAAGGATGAAACTTTTTAGGAGGGTAGATTCTGAGATTCCAGATCTTTAAATTAGGGTTTGAATGTTAATATGAGATGGTGCACTTGAAAGTATCTCATGATTAGGATACATTCAAGTGCACGCAATCATCCATATATTATACACATTAAACAAATCATAAAATCTTTTATTAAAGTAAAACATGTAACAATTTCTAAAATCTTTTAACCTGAACCAAGATTCGACTCCATATAGAATATTTTACTAGCTCGGACGAGCGAATTTGAATATCATACCAATACTTTTACCATTACGAAGCAATTTTAAAACTAATTATTCGAATTAGAATCATTCTTCTTCTTTCTCAAATCATCTCGTATATTCATTGAATGAAAAGTGCACCAAGAAAAAAACAAGTCTGTCCTTTTATTTCCCTAGAAATGCAAAATTCAAATATGGTCCATCCCATTGATGCAGTTTACTTGACTTTGGATATCCTCATTTTATTATTTTTTGCCATGGTTCGTGACCTAGTCCTGCCTCAGCCAAAATGTTAGGGGTGGTAATTTTTGATACGACATAATAATTCGATACGAAACATGATACAAATAAATGAGTTTGGATTGACTAATTTTTTGACACGACCCGCGTATGATACGACCCGCCAACACGAAATGTTAAAGGGTTGTGTTCGGGTTCAACCCGTTTAACACGAATTGACTCGTTAACACGAAGTTTTTAATTCGAAGGAGATTGACTTGGCCTTTTCTTTGCATGTATGAGTTTTCATGTTTTGATGACTTGTTTTTTTTATTATTTCTGATGTTTAATTTGGTTGTATGATGTACAATTAACATATTTAATTAATATTATATAAATAAAATATTAATTATTTGTAAGAGTTTATCAAGTATTGACATAATTATTGTATAAAAAAGATATTATTACTTATTATTGTTGTTATTATTATTATTAAGTTAATTTTTAATTTGTAGAAAAAATATGAGGAGAGATTCAATTAAGTGAAAATAAAATTTTAGCGTTAAATTTTTTATTCAAAGTTTATGTAGGTCAACACGAATATGAACACGAACACGACACAAAAATAAACAGATCAACTCGATATGACACGAATAGTTAAATGAGTTGGATATGAATTGACTAATGATCGACACAATTAATATTGGACACGACACGAATCTGACACAATACGACTCGATTGCGACCCTCACAAAATACATAGACTTTGACTTCGTTCCTTAAAAGACTCGGTGAAAAGGGCATGTTTCAGCTCCTTCTGATCAAATTCTTTCAAATCATACCGCTTGAGCTGAGAGGGAAATAAGTGCGAAAGAAACTACTTTTATGAGCTGTCTTCGTAATGACCGACTTTTTTTTATTTTTCTTAGCTGTATGATTAGTGGCTTTTAGCTGTAAAAGCTACAGTAAAGTAAATAAAAAAAAATCCCTTTTAAAAATAAACTATTAATATTAGGTACTTTTTAGGTCCGGGTAAGGTGGAGGGAACGAAGGACCTGCAGGAGGCTGAAAAGCCCCAACTTCACATTAATGGATGCACCCACCAAACGGTACCTTCAACCATGTTAGTTTGGCGACAAAGAACCTGTCTCCAAAAGCACCTTAATAGATGAGTGTTTTTCCCTCCAGTTTTTTTAATATTATGTTACTACTCGTGTATTGATAACAGAAAAGATTTGAATTTAGTCGAGGGGTCAATCCTTACCAACAGCAAGATTTGGAGTGGGGGAGGAGGGGTTCCATTGTACCATTTTCGGGTTTTATTTAATCCTCTGCTAGTACTTTCTCTTCTTTAGCAATCTACCAATTTATATAAAAAAATTAATAATTGACTTGAATTTCGTTTACTCCATTATGATCTAAACATTAAAGCTTCAAGTCATGAAAATAGCAATTTCTATTGAGTGATCATGAATTCTACCTAAATTTCCAAAAACATACTAGTAATAAAACTACTTTGGCATGAAGGTGTGAAGTCTTAGTCCGATATCAACTTCTAATTAATATTGGGCTAACCAAGACAAGTTAATTCAATCATCAAAAAAAAGGGTTAGGCCATAAACGTGTATCAAACAAAAGTTTCAACCCTAACCCTCGCCCTTTTTTTGAGTTTGTAAACTCGGGTTGAACAAACCAAGTTGAAATTGGGGCTGAAATTCATGTTGACAAATTAGAGAGAAGGGGGCAACACTGCACAAGCCAAGCTTTACCCTCACAGCCAAAAAATCGAAAAGCCAATCACACTAGTAAGAGAAATGCCCCAAATTAAAGAACCAAGAAAGGATAAAGCAGATTGAGAGGAACCAAACTACAGCAGCCATACAAAGCCACTGACAAAGAGGAAGTCAAATCCTTGTAGCACAGCGGGAAACCAAATCAACTTCCTATCTTCCGCGGTGGTGAGCAGAGGAGCTGAGCTTGAGAGATTGGGAGGGAGAGAGTCCGAGAAGGGGGCAGCACAACCATAATCTCTTTATACCCTCTCGACAGATTTAGTTATTTTCCTCTTAGATAACCGGGTTAAAAGACAGGTTGAACCCAATTAGGGTGTAACCCGTCAACCCTAAGCCTCATCATCCCGTATTTAATTCGGGTTAGAACTTTTTTGTCAGAGCTCAACCTGAATATGTGAAACATCTATGAGTACTGAATTTTTCCAGCTTAGGTCAATAGGGTTTAAGTTGACCCGTCTCAGTTACACCCCTATTTCCAAGAGGGTCCCTTCATCCCTCGGTGACCATGGCTCTGCACAAGGTAAAACTAGTAGTTGTTCAGCTCCAGCTTTATTATATAGATTAGTGATCATATCTAACAATCACTGATTAGTTCAGATGATCAAGAGATCATCTCCTAACTAAGAGGTCTGAGTCTCAAATCTCATCAGACACATAGAAATAGACTAATCCTTGCAAAGTTAAGACCTGAATCCAATCCTCAGAAATTGTTTAGCATCACCAACTCCTGCAGAAGGTCTTCTAATATGGCGCTTGAGTGCCCTCGATATGTGTGTGCGCATGCGTGTGCGTGTGAAAGAGAAGTGGGGAAAAGCACATAATAAGATATTGGGCACTCAAACAGTTAAACTGTTCTCCATTTCCAATAATCAGATAATAGAGTGTAAAAGGGAGAACCTCACTATTAGTGGCAACATGACAAAGAAATGCAATCAAAACCACACAATTCAGACAGTTTTATGGGATAAATGTACATAACAACTGCCTGAAATTTATTATCCATATCTCAAACAGGCACTAGAAGTAAAGCATTGCCTGCAGAAGGTAATAATACTAGTTTTTCCACACCCATGCCACATGTAAATTGACTAGAACATACCAAAACAATTGTGAAGAAGTTGTTTCACAAACAAAGTTTGATTCATTCCTCTCTTGATGCAGGATCTAACCCTGCTGTAGGGCTATCAGCAAAATACTCTTGATGCTTCACGTTCACGCCATACTGAAATTTATTTTTGAGGTAAAGTCAGCTTTCATTACAAAAGAAAAGAAAATTGGAAAAAGAACAAGGCAAACGCAATATATTACATGGAATTTTTCCCAAATGGTATAAATTCAAGTGGTTTAAACACTAAAAGGTGTTTACCTCTCGCAGAGCCTTGGAAAGGTCCTCCATCGTCAATATTAGGCGCTTGTCCTGTCACAAGCAAAAGTTAGACCCGGCCCAGAACAAAATCTAGCAAAACCATGTACAATCTAAGCACCTTTTGCTGCTTATCTCGTTTGTCCTTCACTACCGCAGCCTGCCTTGCCTTGCATTGTCTATTTTAAGACAAAATGTAAAACATTATACAAACATAAATAATCCAGAATGAAAAACTAGAAAAACATGTAATGTTTTCCATCATTAATATAATTCGTTGTAGGACATTCAACTCAATACTTTAGGGTCTAGATAATGATAGGTCTAGGCCCAGTCCCAGTACAGCACATATCTAACCCATGTCTTTACAAAATATTGAACATGGCAGAATATGAAGCAAGCCTGAAATTTAAATTACAATTTGGCAAGTTGGGTCAAAAAAAGGTTTCCACAACCAAATTACTAAATAACTTATCATCTTACATCCACAGGCTTTATCTTTGCTTAAATCTTCCAGATCTACCTTAAAAACATAGATATAAATTGGCTAAAAATGGCCTTCTGCCATCTATAAGCATCAATTTTGTGGTGATCGCAGAAACAACTTCCTGGGTATTTGGATATAGATCGGGTAAACTATAAAATTATATGGCCCTCATCACTCCCTTGCTCCAACCAAGAACCTCCAAACCACCCCAAAATAAAAAACAGAAAAAATGTTATTCTACTTCAAGTCCATGCAGATATTAATTACTAAACCATTGAGAAATGTATTGGAGAAATGTATTGGAACAAGAAGAATTTAGAAACATACTGAAGAGCATCAGTTGCAACCTCTGCAATAAACTTCTGTGTAGCAACTGCCACCAGTCTAATTCTGCAAAGTTGAAGGAGACTATCGATGAGGCATGAAAAGACATACATGTCGACAAACAAAGAAGAAATGCCCACATTTTGGTAAATCAGATGATGAAATCTGAAAGGCATTGATTTCAAGTCCAAATCAAAATTACCAGCAACAGAGGTATAAACAGAACCTTTAACCCAATATATATCAAAGAGACATAACACAAGCATTAAATCCATCTAAACCAATATATTGCAGATATAACAGATATTCCAAAATTCTTCAAGAAAAATAATGATTACTCATACACAAGACTACAGTTGATATTTAACTCAAAAAACTTACCTTCCAAAATCCAAAAAAAAACCCCTAACAAAGATTCAAATAACACAAAAAAAAAACCCAATAATAACATGATAATTTTCAATTATGGGGGTAAAAGTCCCTACAATCGTACATCGGGACATTGAAACCCGCTTTTGGCCAAGTAATACTCCACCAATTCATCAGGAATCTGAAATTAACAACCCAAAAAAGGAAAATTATAAAGAAACCAACAATAATTTCCAATTTTTTTTAGCATAATGTGGTTTTTGGGCTGGAGTGTTTACAGTGGGGGTGTAGTCCATCAAGGACGCCAGAAAATCGGAGAGCGCAGTGTCTTCATCGTGTCTGCCTTCGCTCGACTGCTGGCTATGGTTCATCCTCTATCCCCCTCCTTTTTCTTTTTCTTTTGTTTTTTGATCGGAGATTTACGGAAGAAAACCCGCGCCGGGGGGGGGGGGGGGGGGGGGTGTTATCAAAGACCAGCACTTGCGCAGAAATTCATAAATGACAGGCCTGTTATGCCGTGGCATGGGCTACTTGCGGCCCATATCCGCTTATTTTTATAGTTTATTAGGTTAGAATTTTTTCTTCGCGGTGTAAATTAATTTTAATCTTATCGGTTTTTTTTTAGTATAAAAAAAGATTTTCTGTTTTTTTAAAAATATTTTATGTGGTCCCTAGATTGGCACGAACATGTAAGAGATGGGTATTTAGTGTGTTTTCATTACCCATTTTACACTCATCACATGATTTCAGCCTTAAATACAGTTATTTTTTTTTTTTTTTGCGTTTGTTATTGACTATTTTTTGGATTATGTCTATCTTTTTTGAATTTTAAATTTGATAACCCTACAATTTGGAATATACTCGATCGCATATTAATTGTTGATTTAGTAAGTACAGAAAGTGGATACACAAATTTTATGTAATTCTTATTAGGTGTAAGTACATGTTCGATATAATTTACGTAGTGATGTTTTGTGTATGGTTTTATGTAATTATGTACCAATAATGGTGTATATGTATTGTATACTTAATAAAATATTGACGTACTTATCATGTGGATATATTTTATTTGTATAATATACCTGTATTATTGTGCACATTAGTCGTCGTATATGATATGTAATGCACATATTTAGTCACATATACGATATGCAATGTACCTGTTTGAACAAGATTGTTTAATGCACTATCTTGTGTGTTTAATCGCATTTGTTTTGTGATTGTGATGGCCATGTATATTCATTTTATAGTTTTGTTGAGGATGGATAATTAACTATTTTGATTAAATTTTGGTTTCATGTTTATGTACTTGTTGTCAATTTGGATGTGTTTTGTCTGTTCGAATACTTATTATGTTCGTTATAAATGATATGTTAGATACATATGTAAACATGTATATATTTATTGCGTATCAGTTTGCGTTTGTTTAATGCATTTTGTTTATGTGAAATCATGTTTGTTTTTTAGTGTGATTACCTTCAATATTCATCTTTTTAGTTTTGATGAGGATGGATCAGTATCTCTTTTGATAAGTTGTGGTTACATTTTTATGTACCTATTATTCATGTGTATGTATTTTGACGGTTTGAACACTTATTCAGAATTTTAGGGGATGGAAGGAATTGTGATGGCGAGGTATACATTTTTATTCAGTCACTTTTGTTGTTGCTCTAAACGATTGTATTATGTATGAGGACCTTTGTAATTAGATAATTTCTAGTTTTGTAAAGTTAAAGGGATCTATTTTTAGTGTAAGATACTGCATAGATTACAATCCACAGATGTTTGATTGAGTTTGATAAGGATTTTAGGCTTATGATGTTATATCAGTCGTTTGCAAATTCAAAATTTATTAACCTATACATGTTACAAAATAATGTTCAGTCAAATTAAGCAAGTGATAGAACCATTGTAGATTTGTCATGTGATGTGAATACAATATCTTCAAATGATAGTGAATTTTTGGGCCGATTTGGTATTGTAGTGAAGAGGTCGTATCTATTTGATTTATGGAATAATTATATTAGTCATGTGAGACAGAAATTTGAGGGTGGCGCAATTGATTTCTAAGATAAGCTGTCTAAGTATGCGATTGAACTCGATTTTTGTTTTGTTTATGTTAAGAATGACAAGATATGGGTAACTGCAGACTATAGTAAGAAGAGTACTGATGGTTGTAATTTGCGTGTTCATACTTCGATGTGCCAGACAAGTAATTTTTTCTATATTAAAAAATTAGAAAATGTTCATTCATGTAGAAGTATTTATCATGAGTAGAAAGGTGCAATGACGCAGTTTAGTATTATATCGTCTATTTTGGTTGAGCAAATCAAGGATAAACCATTAATTAAGCCAGTTGAAGTGGTTAAGGTTTCAAGAAATACTATGATCTTGATATTTCTTACCATAATGCTTGGTATGGGAAGGAAATGATAAAGAGTCAGTTACACGGTGATGAATCACTGTCGTACAGTCAGCTGAGTTTATATATGGAATTTGTAATGCAAACAAATTCGGGGTCTAAATGTGTTTTAGAGTGTGATCCCCAAAGTTGTTGTTTTACAAGATTATTTATTTCATACGTAGCATGTATTGAGGGATTTATGTTTTGTCGACCTATGTTATTCCTTGAGGAACTTTTCTAAAAAACAAGTATAAGGGTAATTTGCTTGCTGCGACTGGGAAAAATGACAACCAAGGTTAGTTGTTTATTTTTCATGTACCTATTGTTTTTTTTTTTGTAGTGATTACATACTTATTGTATTGTTTACGCACCTATTGTATTTATATTATGTGTTTGTTGTAGTGTTTTACGTACCTATTGTTTAAATGTATATTTTTTATGTATATGTTTAGTATCATAGTTACATTATTATAATGTACATTGCTAGTTGTGTGTGTGTTTTTTTAGGTTTTTACCCATTGACATTTGTAGTTGTTGATTCTAAGAATAATGACAACTAGAGTTGGTTCTTAGAGATTTTAACAAGCATTTTAAATCCATAAGATAGATTGATCACATTCATTTCTAATCGAAACAAGGGTTTTTGATTGATTCTGTTTCAAAGTATTTTCCATTAAATCCACATTCATTTTGTTTGCATCATTTGAAGATGAACCTTAATGCTAGATATCCTGTCAAATTTGGTAATGTTTTGCGCAATAGAATTCTAAAGTTGTTCATGAAATGTACTTATGCATCTATAGAAGCTGCATTTTAGGTGAACATGACATGTTTGATGGACGAGGGCGGACCCTTAATGCATGAATTTTTGGCCAATTTGCCTTATGAAAATTGGTCTAATACATATTTAGGGGTCAACATTATGGGAAATGTGTTCAAATGTGGCAAAGTCATTTAATGCTTGGATTGTTGAGGAATGATTTTTGGCTGTGTTGTCGTATGGTTAATGGTATATGGATAAAGATAATGCAAATGATGTCTAACAGGAATGAGGAATGCAATCAGTGGACATCAGTTCTATGTCTGGAGTTTGAGAATTTGTTGAATGAAAATTTGTCAATTGGAAAGCATTGGAATGTTAGTCGTTCTAGTGAGTTTGAGTTTGAGATTCATGTAGAGGATTCAGTGATAGTTGACTTGCCGAAGCATTTTTGGTTCTTGCTATCAGTGGCAGATTAGAGGTTTCCTTTGTCCGCATGCTTTAATGGCGATTCAGAAGAAGTCAGAGTATGTATATGATTACATTGAGGATTATTTTAAGATAGATTTCTTCAGGCTTTGTTATGGCAGCTCCATTGTTCCTATTCCTGATTTAGAAAAGCCTAGAAAGGATTCAACACATAGAATTTTTATCAAGCCTCCCTTACAAGAAAACCACTAGGCAGACCGAGGAAGAAGAGGGTAAAGAATTAAGGGCAATGAAGTGCAATAGATGTGGTTTGTTAGGATGGCATAACATAAAGACATGTACTGTTGCGATTTGATCTTAAAAATTCATTATTTTTAAAATTTTTGAAATGTTGATTTGTAAGTAATAATTGGGTTTTCATTTTTTGATGTAATTGTTATTTTTTTATATGTTAGTTGTTCTTGTAATGCATCTTGCTCGATAGATACCTATTGAATTCTGACATAAATATATGATATGACAGTGTGTTATTATGCGTGACATTATACATTGTTCATATTATGTCTTATTGCATAGAAAACATTGTTTTTTATAGGTACACAACACTCATAGGTACACTACATAGGTACATAATATACAATGCATAGATACCTAATCATATTGAGGATTCAACATCATGCATAATGTACATTGCATAGGTACATTGACCTGCATAGTTACACAACACTGTATACATACAATATACATTGATACATAATGTACAATGCATAGGTATCTAATCATATTGAGAATTCATCATCGTGCATTATGTACACTACATAGGTACACAAGTCATAATGATAGGTGCATTATACATTGGTACAAAGATTGGAGAGGTACAATAAATCCAGATTAATTCATAATGTAGTTACATTGTCAATATGTGGATTAAAACACCATAGGTACACATTACACTAGGGCCTCCATGTCCTCGTGTTATTAAGGAAAACGCTCAAAGTTTCAACCCTCATATTGTGCATTGTATTAGCCTAAATGTTTTTTTCAAGCTCCTCTCCATGTAACAATTTCTTCATGTAATGCATGACAACTATGCCACATTCCATCTTGCCAGATTAATATAATATTTGAAATTCCTTATGTGTCAAGTTATGCAAATAAGCATTGTGGATACTAGGTTCAGGTTGTGAGACTTACGATTCTTCATTTTGTTGTAGGCAATAAAAGCTCTTGAATATTGGGTAGTCAAAGTCCTTGGACAGAAGTCATGTCAAAGTTTGCAAATCATCGCCAGTCAGGTCCACAGGTGTCTTGCTCGACAGGGTATCTCGTTTTGTCATCTTTGGTCTTTTGCCAGCATCCAATACTAATGCAATCAGCTTCTGAATAACATAAAAATTCAATAAGAAGAAGAGTCGAAGAGCTAGATTAAGCTAAAAGACTAGCTTAAACACCCACACTCAATCCCAAAGAGATTGAGAGAAAGCTAGCTACTGTAGAAAGCATAATATATGTTAATATTATTCTCAAAAGCTGTTGAATACAGTGTGGAACAACCCTTTTATAAGTCCCTAGGGTTGCCCTAATAAAAGAATCAATCTTAGTCCTTTAATTAAAGCTAATCTAAGGGCTCCAATTCTGTCCAGCAAAAAAAAAAAAAAAAAAAGACACTAAAATGACCAAGCAGCCCAAAACAGTCACATGACTGACTTTTAAAACTCACATGACTTTTAAAATAAAACCCAAATGACCAAACTATCCCTAAATATGAATGGTAATAAAAAAAACACTATGTAAAACATGAAAACATACAGAAAATAGAATTTATACTAAAATAAACACTTTAAGAAA